TCGCGAACTCCCCTTGTTCGAGGTGGCGTTTCCACGCGAGCTGCTCTTTTGTCACCGGTCCGGCCTTTCTGGGTTTGACTTCGCAGTCCCGAGAATCTGATCGGTGAGGTCCCCCACAGTTACGACACAATGTGAGGGCCTTGCACTCGGCTTCCGAGTGCATGTTGGAGCCGCAGTTCCAGCAGGCTGGAGCGCGGGAGCATCCACGAGTGGCGTGGAAGCCCAAACAGCGTTTACACTGTTCGATATGTCGACGAGGCTTGTGAATGGTAGCCTTACCAGACTCGTCGAAGAGGCGGAAGCCCGCACAAGGGGCGACTTCCCGGTCGAAAAGGGCATGTCAGTTTCGGTGCGGTGCCCCAGGTCGACACGTCTCATGAGGTCGGACGTGTATTGGTCTCGCGCCGGTCATAACGGCGATCTTGTCGAAGACCCACTCAGAATCGACTGCCATGGGGCCTCGCTCTGTGATTATACTTACAGGTACGTTCGGTATCTGTAAGGCGACAAGATCCGAAGATGCCTCGAGTTTGGCGTTTTCACTCGCCAGCTTCGAAGAGCTATCTAAAGTCTCTTGTCGTGTTTTTTCGTTATTTGCTAGCATAGCAAAGCCGGTCCTCGCTCGATGAAGCGAGGTTATTTTATCGTGAAAGAAAAGGAATCTCATCTCCAATTTACTTCTCACGCAACTTGTGGACAGTTTTCGCCACAGGTGGTCCTTTTCAAGGCGAAGGAATAGTCGCTTGTCGACTTTCGCCTTGGGGGTTTCTTTTTGGTGGGCTTTGGCCGCAGGTTGCGGGACAGCCTTTGCAGTTGGGACTGGTTTCTGTCGCAGTCCGTGTCTGGCCACCGTGGCCCAGGTGCTTTTGACGGGCAGAGCTGGGACGGTGGGTGGTTGAGGAATTTCCTCAATAATTTCAACTGACCCGATCATGCCAGTATTGGGTTCAGTAACGGCGGGGAGGGCTTTTTCCTTCCCTTTGATTGAGACCCTGCTCATCTCCGCGTATTTCGGAGACTGTACAAGGCCAGATAATTGATCGAGAGCCCTCGGGCGGACTCTCGTGTTGTCCAACTTGGTGTTGGGACGCTTTTTTCGAACAGGTGGCATGGTGGAAAGCCATTGACTCGATCACAATTATTTGAGAGAATGTGACGAGCGCGAGAGGGAGGGAGAGGGGGAAAAGGTGGAGATTCGAAAATTCTAAGTTCAAAAAATTGTCTTTGATATTGTGTCATAGCTATATAGCTGCATACGCAATTGATATCTGATGCAAAAAAAAGAAACTCTTTCGGGAGCACATTCTTCCCACTGTGACTGTCTATTATCCGGCCTAGGAGACTTAAATTTCCGTAGATAGTGTGACTTATTATGTCATGTGACATTGAATTTCATCTTGGGCCCTTTCTTCTTTGTCTTGCGGGAGCTGGTTGCCCCCGGTTTCTAGAGCAGTAAGCTCTGGCGTCCTTTTCCAACTTGGAACTAGTGTAATATAAGCATTAGTTAGACGTAAAATATTCATCACACATCCCATACTAGATAGGATAGGCAAGCCACTGCGAAGTATCCAAAGAAAACAATTGAAGCTTGTTACAGGGGCATTATATCTACTAGCAGTAGGGTACTAGAACACGGGTCTTCTGTTTACCCGATAGATATCTACCTGAAACAAAGGAGGTTCTGTTGAAATCTAGACATGCCAGACCGAACTGCACGCAGTGCAGAGTAGACGAAGGCTACTCATCTTCGATCGCTACCAGCTTTGGTGAGGTCTCGGTTGGTGATGATCTCGGTGGTGTGAATGTTATTCCATCACGTAATCAGAACACAATGTTTCTACCTAAGCGAGGTAGAACATAGACAGAAAATTAGAAGTAGATTAAACACTAAACACTTTCAACTATCGAAATATAAGTTCAGTAAAACCAAAACCCTACTGATCCTAACCTTATATCTCTGATCCTTAAATCCCCAATATCTTACGATTCGTACAGTATTGACTTGACGGTCAACGTTCACTTCTATCGTTCCAGATACCCCCTAGAATTTTAAAAGGTTCCAACACGTCGGACTGTCTGTTGGGCTACCTGTCAGGAGATCGATACTATCCGTATTCAGTAAAATCAAGCTGAACACAAGGAGAACAGAGAACAGGCACGCCAAGAATCTAAATTTAGACATTGAAGAATGGATCAGAATTTGTGGCATGGAGAACGCGAAAGGGAGACAAGAAGAAGCCGGTAAGCTGGCCGCGTTCCAGGAGTGGAAAAACTCATGGAAAAGTCCAGGCAATGAGATACTATCTGGTCATCCAGCTTCGGCAGACCCTGAACATTGGAGAGCCGCAAATATTGTTACAGATGAGGCAACAGGCAGAAAAAGGATTACATATAGAATTACACATTCAAATATCCACCGGAATCTTAGCAGGGTGTAAAGGGTTTAAAGAATTCAGAAGTACTTGAAAGACGTTAACTCAATAGGAATTGATAATTTTTCCTTGGGAAGCTAATCTGCCTGCGACGGCTCCTGTCCTTTATGTCCTCCTCAGCGTCGCGTTTAAGCTCCCCTCCTAGCCTACCTGAGAATACTCCATTCTCCCCGGCTACCCTCTTTCCTGTGACATCCTCCCCCCCTTAGTACATACTCCCTTGGGTCCTTCCTCATGCGCAACCTTGCAATTATCCTTATGCAACACTGAGACTCGTTCTTGTGCGCAACCTTGCATTAATCCTTATGCGGCATTTAGGCCTTTCCTTATGCGCAACCTTGCAATTATCCTTATGCAACACTGAGACTCGTTCTTGTGCGCAACCTTGCATTAATCCTTATGCGGCATTTAGGCCTTTCCTTATGCGCAACCTTGCAATTATCCTTATGCAACACTGAGACTCGTTCTTGTGCGCAACCTTGCATTAATCCTTATGCGACACTTAGATCCCTCTTTGTACGTATCCTTGCATTCTTCCCCATGCAACCTTTCGCGTCTCTGTAAGCGCTGCTTCCTTGGCGCTTAAAGATCTAGCCGGGTTGGTCCTAGTGACCAGTCCCAATCCGGGCACAGCCCGTAACACAGGGCCCAAAGCAGTTTTGCAGTCCAGATAAGAAGTGAGCACATTTGTCTCAATTCTTATCCGTATCGAGGAAAGTCCCCGGAGTGATTTATCCAAAATGTCAGTGTGGATATCCATCTCAAAATATCAAACACATGGTTTTGACGTGTTCTCACTTGGCAATGGGAAGAGAAGAGGCTCCTCGAAAGGCAAAAGATAAGTCATTTGTGGCAATGATGAACAGCCCAGATGACATAGAGAGAATTACAAAATGGATCCTGGCAAAAGGCTGGTTTGAACAATTCCGGCTTGCAGGAGAAGTAGAAATAGCATTGGACGAAAGGATGAGACGATGTGGACAAGGATAAGACAGATTTCACACTGTGTAAACAGCGTAGATGTACTTTCTGTAGATGTTGGAAAGGCTGTGCCTAGGTATCTGATGAGATAACAATGTACGTTGGGATAAAGATGTTCTTGTTTAAACTACAATAGTGATACATCTATGATAAACTTACACGAGCCTGACTTTTCAGCCTTGTACCATTAAATTGAGCGAAGACCTCATCACAATGTTACTTCCACACGAAATACAATAACCACTAAGTTGCCGAAGAGTAACCTATGTAATGACAAACAACAGTAGAAAACCTCAGAAAACAGATAGACACGAGACAGACAGTTTTGAGGGTTTTTAACCGAATTTGGTTTCCCCCTGTGTAAATATTATAGCTAGATATACCTGCATGGGCCCTAAGGTACCTGAACGGGCTAAATAAAATCAAATAAAATACCGTAGTATTTAGCTTGGGGGTCAAAAAAGTGGGTCAGTGTTTATTGTCCTAATGAGTCTATAACTATGTAAGAACATGTAGGACCTTTCTGCCTACAGGCCGGGAGTATCTACGGTTTGGGTAGTGTACTCCCTCATATACCTCCTTCACGATTTCTTTTCAGCAGTAATACCCCACAGGTCTTCATTCGAGTACACACTATGAGGAGCCGTTATCCCGTCACTGTCTCCCCTCTTCAGCAAATGAAACGATGGCCATTTTCGGGTGTGTAGCTGCTGGGAAAAGTCTCAAAAGCCACTGGGTGCCGGGCTCTCCTATGACGAAAAGGCCGGCCAGTCGGGCGCAGCAGACCTGTGTATACCTAAGAGCGTCTGTCAACCTTCCCTGCCTCTACCTTACTCCTACCCTGATTCATGCCGCAGGACAAGCCGAAGATCGTGAAAGGTTACAGAAAAGTCTTTGTCGAGAGTGACTGTCATGAAGGAGCCTAGCCTAGCATCCTAAAGTCGTTATGGACATGGGGTTGTCGAGTAACTCATGTATCTCAGATGCTCTCCTGGCCAGTAGATTCGGAATTAAAGATTGGAAGGAACGTTATTTTTGACGAGTCGAGATGTACTTTTCTTGAGAGCGGAAGGGTCTTTTACTTTGCTTTCATAGGATTTTTATTTGCCCACCGGTGGATAGCACATGTTGCAATATGACGAGGGCCTCTCTGAATATCGTCGTAGATTTTGGTACAGCATTATCTTTCCTCGTTCCTAGCATCATTATCGTCGTGTTGGTCGTCTTATGAGTTATCGGAAGCGTATCTTTGACGGGATGGGGGAGATAACTCAGCTCAAAGTTAAAAAGGTGTAACTCTATCTCAGACCTGCAGACTCTACAGTCAAGGTTTGAGGTTCGAAGGGGACACCACTAACTGGTGCTGAGTTTTGTCACCCTGAGCCAATAACTACAAGAAAGGAAAGGAATATAAAAATAATTTATCTAAACCCCGGACTTTAGCGCCAAACCTATTTAAGGCTAATACAATTAAGGTAAGTAGAATCTACAGCTTAACAAACCCAAAACAAGCAACCACCCAACTCGTCTAGCATTTCCCACTTCACCTAGTAGTTTACTGATTCACCGAGATCTCAACCATCAAATATGTCTCTCGATCCTCCTCCGTACCTGGCATCACTTCAAAGCAACATCAGAACTCGCCCTATCGCTTGGGAAGGAGCTGTCCGTGCTGGGACAATTACTGATGAGCAACTGAACAAGATTAGAGCTGTGGATAAAGTTAGAAACGAGCAGAGAAAGCAGACAATTGAAAGAGACGTAAACGGCTATCAAACCCTTTTTCTTGGAGCTGTAGGAAGGCCGAGCATCCTGGAAGCAGCTATAAAAAGGTCTGACATCGTACAAAATATACTAGTGCTCTTGGCAGACTTGTTAGAAGGTATTTAGCCAAACGCTTTTCCTTGAATGGAAAGTCTAACTAGCCGCAGATGTTCCAGGCTTCTCCAAGTCTTTCTCGACACATCCCAAACCCTACACAGTCTTCGTAAATCAGCTTTCCCACTCTAGCGAGCCAGCGAGCCCAATACCACTACTCACTTCAACAATACTTACCACTTTGATTTCCAGCTCCCCAGTTTTTTCAAACAGTGAGCTGAAAGCTCTGCCTGAGCTACTGAAGTACTTATCATCTCTCACACAGTCATCAGATGGAGGACTACAGGACATAGCAGTCTTACAATACTCAAGTTTGTTAAGACGCTGCGAATCACGAAAAATATTTTGGGAATTGAGGTGCCAGACAATCAAGCCGCTAATTGAAATACTTCGAGCTGCTGCAGGTACGTCCGAAAAAGATGAACATCCATCTGCATTGAACGGTGCATCATTTTCACGATCTGCCACCGACAGCGTAGCCGGAGGTGGAGTCGCATTACAATTGTTGTACCATGTCTTACTATCGCTTTGGCAATTGAGTTTTGAAGGCAGCTCAATTGGGAAAGATCTTCAAGAGTATGCTAATAGTTTTGAAATGAGTTAAATGGAGCTAAAATTCTAGCAGTGAATATAATATCATCCCCTTGTATATCCAGCTTGTAAGATCTTCTCCCAAGGAGAAAATAACGAGACTTCTTTTATCAACATTGTACAACATCCTCTCAACCAACCGCCAAACACTACTGCCGGTGGCAGTACTTGCACGTCTACCTGGTCTATTACAAAACATAAGCGGGCGTCACTTTTCGGACCCTGATCTCTTGGAAGACTTGAAGAATCTGACTGAAACAATCGAGGAATACACTAAGACTCAGACAACATTCGATGAATACGCTGCCGAAATAAATTCAGGCTACCTTTGCTGGTCACCACCACATAGAAGCTCGAGCTTCTGGACGGAAAATGCTCGCAAAATTTTAGACCATGAAAACGGCGCGCTAGTCAAAAAAATTGCCGAAATAATGGAAAAATCCTGGGAAAGTAACAAGCAAGTTCTTGCCATAGCATGTAACGACATTGGACTCCTAGTAAAAGAGGTTCCCGAGAAAAGGACGCAACTAGAGACACTGGGATTGAAGAAAAGAGTCATGGAGCTAATGACAGATCCTGATGAATCTGTAAGGTGGGAGAGCTTAAACGCACTTTCAGGCTGGTTGAAGTATGGCTTTACGAAGTGAAGGGACGAAAAAACTTGCTCATAGTCACATGCCAAATTCCCAATTTTGTAATACGATGCATCTGGTATCAGAATTCTATCATGGAATAGGTTTTATTCTGTAATTCCGTACCTTCGGGATGCACAGGGCAAGCATTAGCGAGTGGCACTGACAAATTATATGTTTAGTAATTCTTAATAGCCGATGAAGAATTGGGGGAATCATGTATAATGAAAGCCTATTTAATGATTATCGCAAAGGAAAATAAGCTCAAATTTAAGCGTCATAGCCTGACCATACGGCCAACAACCCCCAAAATCAGGCCATAATTATTTATATATCCATTTATGTCCTATTTGAGATTCTAACTATGTAGGATAGACTATTTAAATATAACTTTTCTTTTTCATTCTAATTGGGGGTAAAATATTCCCTCTTTGGCAAAAAAATCAAGCCATAGTCATTCCACGTCTCATGGGATTATTTTATCCCACTCAGCATCACCGAATGAAATAAGCTAACATGTATATAGTCAGTTACTGAGTAAGTTAAATCTTTAAGAATCAGTTCATTCAACCAATAGAACAGTGTTATATAACAGTCAATACTGAACATATCTCAGGTATGGAGACCTAGCCCAGTAACAATAACTCACTGGCCCCAATAGAAAAGTAAAATCGTCGTAGAGACTTGGGTATATTACAAATTCACACGGAAACGAAAATGATATAAAATTATATTTATTGTCTCGTTGAACAAAGCATTACAAGGAAATAAAGCACGTATTTTATGGTAAGCCTGAAGATAATTTGCTTCATTCATTGTACAGCTTCCAGCGATTTCTGTACGGATCTTGTTAAGCTCTAATTCCCCTATGGATATTTATTTTCGTGCGAACTCAGAAGAGTCGTCGTCCTGTCATCAACTCCGCTTTTCAGTCAACCATTTGGAAGAAATTTGAGAATGTTTGAATGGAACAAAAAATATAAAAAATCACTCGGCTCGGAGCTCTCCAATCTAAAATGGAGTCGAATTCGTGAGTATAACTATAGTTCTAAAGGGGTCCGTGAGGCATCTCGGACCATGGCGAGTGTTGTGACAAATGTGGCCCAAGTAGTAATGGTCAGTTAATCAATGAAGACATAAAGTGACATTGTGTATCTAGGTCATCAAAAACACAAAAAGCTTCCTAACAGCTATTTCCACAGGTCATCTTACTTCTAATTACTAAATCAGATCTCCTAGGTCACATTTTCTGGTACAACATGTTAATTTCCTCAGTTTGTTGGACCCTATCCAACCGCAAAATCTGCAAATGAAGGCATCTTTCAAACATAAGGATAATTAGCGGCCACACATGATACAATACGGCCCTTTATCGCTCAGATGTAAAGCAGATGCAACATATATATGGAAATATCAGTGGTTGTCGCTGGGGAATTAGTATATTCTATTGAAGGTAGAATGACCAAAAAGTTGCACTATATTTTGGTATGAAAGTTATCTGATTTGATTAATGTTGGTTCTTTAGGATGATATCAATTGTACACAGATTGCGTATACTGAATAGGTTGTTGAATTCGACGTTATTGTTTCAAATCTATCGAAGAAAGAGTACAAATCTCGAGTACTAAGATATCAGTCCCGTTTCCATAGCCAAGCGCGCTTAGAGCCCCACAACGAATTGCTGATTAATGAGTACAGGTGAAACATTGAAAAAATTGTTCTGACAATTAATCTATCCCGATTTGGTTCCCCATAGGCCGATAAAGGTGCATATTAACTGTATTGGATGATTTAGTTTTATTGTACATCTTGACTCAAAGACTATCCAGCACATTGAGCTCATCTTTCACCCAGGCTATATCTTGTTCAGAGCTCCTAACCATATTTAGACGAAAAAATATTTCTGATGTAACGCCCATGATGTGTGGTCATTCAGCTCAGTATCTACCCGCTGAATCTGGCCATCTTTGCGACGTAAACTTCTACGCCAACAAAAAAGGGAAATTTCCTCAAAACCCCTGCAACATCAGCTAGGCGTGGCCTTGGCACTCGAACTTAACGAGGTGTGCATATCTATATGTATCTCCATTTTTTGCCAAACAAGAGGATTAATTGATCCAATCCACGAAGGGTGATGACTGAACACCTGTACGCGATGTCCTACGAACCTAAGAGTGAAATATTCTCCTAGGACCAAGTTTAGTCAATTTCGTAGTACCAAACAAATTAGCCCACGAAGTGATGATTCAAGACTCTCCACCTAATCAATTTCTCCTATCCAGCGAGACTAATCCCCACCACAACCTCATCAAATTTACTAGTACGACCTAGTACATCCTCCTTTCGATGACCACTCCTCACACCGACTTTCTCTGGCCTCAGCCGGTCACCAAGTACAAGCTCACGCCGATATTCACATTCGACGGAGGAAAAAAAGCGTGGCGCACAAATATGAGAGATAATTCTTTGAAAAAGCATGAGGGAATCAGGACAAGTTTACAAGAGAATGGAAGGGAAGGATAAAACTGCGAAGGGCGTTAATTTAGAATTTTGGCAAGAGTTTTATGAATTGAGCTTTGTGCGGGTCAAGACTTGGCTTGGGAGAGTCCAGCTGACACTATAAACACAAGTCGACGATGGAAGGTGCCGCGGTACTCCTAGTGGTGTTTTCCGGTATAGTTTGAGTAGCCTGGGCTCCTTCTCCACTTGGGAAGGAGACGCCTAAGACCATATTTCGCGCTGAGAAAAGTTGAAAGATGATGGAGGCATGTCTGGATAACTCAGGATTTTTGAGACGTTCCCCTGGGTGGGTATTCACGGATGAGGGTTGACTTGGGGTGAAGAAAAAGCCATCATAACTTCGCATTGGTACCTGCAAATGAAATCTGAGGCATGAGTGCTCTTCCTTTACGTTGAATCATGTATTATGTACTTTTCTTCGATATTGTGTTATAGCTAGATAGCTGCATACGCAATTAAAATCCGATGCAAAAAAAAGATGATGTTATTGTTACAGAAATACTACCTTTTGTGTGTATTGTTTGCGTTACTACGGTGGGGATGGAATATGGGTTCTAGTCAGCTTTAGGGACTACCAAGGATGTAGATTAGATACGGTTGCTTAGCAGCAGATACTGTTATGATGGGCGTCTTTAATTACATTTTGTTGGTAGCACTCGGTGGCTACTGTTTCTAGCATATGCTTGAGTACTGGTTTAAGATGGTTGTGTATTGGTTGTCTCTATTCTATCTACATGATGAGGGATCCATATAAGTATTCACGTAGGTGCCCGTGCATGCTACGCTTGACCTTACTGCCCAAGGTATCTACGTACCATAGGCTACTATGGATCCGAACACATTTCCTCGTAGTTAGGATTTGTATGCATTTGACCCAATTGAGCGCCCTGTTGGCGCATGCAAGCGGCTATGAACCCATCTATATATTTACATAGGGGGAGAACTAACACGATTGGAAACCTCCTCACCCTATTAACTTTTATCGTTGACTATAGTTCTTCGTTACCCATAGGAGATGCAATTGGCCTTGAGTCCGAGACAGGACTAGCTAAAATTGTATTGTACCTCACCATCCTTTCCCTGACCTTGCGTGATGAAAAGAGACGACAGTGGTCATGAACTTGACCCCGATGATCCAAATACTTGCGGTAGGGGATTGACCAGGAGCTAATTGCGCGATCAATCTAGCCCTCTCTTGAGTACCTCCGGTTTTTTTTGGGACACCAGCATGAACCCTTGGTCGTCTGTTGGTTTTGCCGTGATTGTAATAGATACCGCTGGTCTGGTTTCTCTCCTAAATTCCGCCGTTCTCTCCATGAGTTCATACCGTGCCCTTTGAACGCTAGCCTTGTATGCCGCGAAGTTCTCACACGCTCCCTTCTGCCATGATTTATGGTCCTTGCCGCAATTGCAACAAAGCACCGACCTCCTCGGGCATTCACTGGCTTGGTGAGTGCCCGCGTACTCACCACATCTTCTTACCTTATTGCAAGAGGCTTGGGTATGCCACCATTGACAGCAGTTGAAACACTGCTTGATTTGCGGTCTGGGTGACCAGAGCTGGGCCGTGTATAGCATTGAGTTGTGTATAATGCAATAGGGTTGCAGATGGTGCACCATCCGGGCCGTTCTCCCAAGTAGATACTGGGTAGCTTGAACACCTACCCCATTCGAGACAGGAGAAAGCTGGTTAGAATCTAGTCAGACCCACTCATCACACACTCTCGCGGTGATTTTGTACTTGTGAGACGATGAAAGCACACTCGGATAGCCATAGATTTTTTACGCTTTTCCCTGTGGTGGGTATGCACGGAAGAGGTTATACGCCGTAAGGGTTAACCTCGAGTGGTATCTGCAAATGAAATCTGAGTGTGAGCGTTCTAAAATTCAAATTAAGTCATCCTATTTAATGTACATATCTTCCGATTTAGATTATGGCTCTATTCTATGGTATGGGAAGAGCTGATCTCTTCATCTCATTGAAAAATGTCAGAAGCTACAGAACCGAGCAGTAGTCCTTGCCACAGGAGCTTACTCTAGCAGCCCCTCGAAAGCTTTGGAAGTAGAGGCCGCCCTTCCACCTGTGAAGGTGCGACATCTAAGACCAGCCTACAACTATGCCCTCAGTATATTAAAGATGCAGCCCTTAAATCCAATACAAATGCAGCTACTTAGCTCAGTTCAAGATGAGCTGTCCATAGGTACTGCCATCAGCCTTGACATGATTGATGACCTACAAGAAAATAATACACAGCTCATGAAGATTGGACACCTGCTCAAAGGACTCTCAGATTGCAATAGATTTGAAACAAGCAATGCAGAATGGGCACCACCATGGCTAGCAAATCATGTGGATACTAAAATAAGTAATTCTTCTAAGCATGCAGCAAGGGATGAGCACATTCTTCTGCTAAAAGACATCCCAAATCATGCATCAATTGTATACATAGATGGTTCCCTAACAAAAAGCAATGGAAGTAGCCTTGGATTTGTGGTATACTTGCCATTCACAAGACAGGTGAAATGTTTCTCTTACAATCTCGGACATACAATGACAATCTCAGATACTGAGACATATTGTATCTTGAAAGCTTTGAAATATGTCATCTCCAATAAACATTCCAGGGAAATCTGGGTCTTTTGTGATAGTCAAGCAGCAATTCAGAGGGTCAGCAAAGCTAGTAACTTTATTTCACATCAAATAAGGATAAAAGGCCATAAATATCAAATACATCTACACTGGTGTCCAGGCCATGAAGGTATTGCTGGGAATGAGCTAGCAGACAAAGTGGCAAGAGGTGGAGCCAAGAAAAAAGTCAAAAAAGAGATAAATTCACAACAATTGCTTACCTTAAGCAGAAGGCAGAGGAAATGACTCTCAAAGCCTGGCAAAATGACTGAGAGACCCAAGTCTTGAGACAGGATGAGGGTAGAAGGGCTAAAGGACTGGGAAGGCTTTATCAAGTGCAAGCCAGGAAAAGATCACCTATAATAAAAATGAGGCCATACAACTTCAGTCATCACAGTAGAATGACACAATCTTCATTTATACAAGCGAGAACAGGGATCGGAAATACCAGAGCCCATTTATTTCGAATTAAAAATGTGAAGGATAACTCTTGCAACTTTTGTTGGAAGAGAAAACAGACTGTTCAACACCTACTTCTTTATTGTAGTAAGTTTAAGACTGAAAGAAAGGAAGCTTTTAAAGGCATATTGCCACTGAGATTAGAGATATTGTCCTATACAAAAATTGGAAAAGAAGCAACTCTCCACTTCCTTCAAAGCAGTGGATGCATGAATGCATCCAAAGCTGACTGAAAGGGAGGAGACTAGAAGATAAGTAGAGGAAATGGGGTTTAAATATTTGTATTTATATATAAAATAATCAGATGTGTCATAGCTAGATAGCTGAATACACTATGAATTATAAAAAAAATCTTCCGATAGAACCTGCAAGGGCCTCAAGGCGCCAAATCTGTTACAGGCTGCGCCTATCTCTTAGTGACTGTTGCACGGACACTTATCATTATTACGTCATTAGCCTTGCTATCTAAAGAGATGTCCCAATTGGCCATACGTATACAGGGTTACAACAAATATGGAAACAGGATATTGTTGCAGCAAGTCTCATATGGAATCATGGGCCGACACGACCCAGATTCGCTATGACGAGTCTACTCAGAATATCAAGGATATGGTGTAGTAGAACAGATAGTGAGGTTAGCGCATTGGGAGTTGGGACACCTTAAGTAGCCTCTCTTCGGTGGACAATTCCGAGATCTAGGTAGAAAATAGACAGTAATCGGCCACCATTCCTTTGCTATTTTTTTTTTGATCGCTCATCATAAAATCAGAATAATTGAATAATTTATATATCATATATAAATTTATAATGGAATGAGAAACTATCATCATTTGCTCAAAGGCGGCACCGCATTCTATGAACGTTATTTCATCATTTAGATAATTGTTTCCAACTTAATCAGTCCTTATCTGATTCCTTAATTTTTTTCATGTTGCGCTTCGGCATGGCGAGTTGGAGGACTAGAAAGATGGATTTCACGGCAGTAAAATTTCACGGCGCCACAACCATCACCACCGGACAGCGGAACACTCAAAATTATGGCTGTAGAGTCTCTCGCGACCTGTACAGGCGTCAACATGGGTACCCTTAAGACAGTTGGGCTTTAACTAAACAAGGCCAGAGACAGACTGGTGAATGCAGGCACTGACAGATCTACGACACCGATGGTAGAAATAGGTGAGGCACTCGATGCCTCCAAAACACTCGCAACGATGTTACAATCGAAGCTGGAGGCTTCACGAATAGAAGAACGGATACTGGCCTTAGAGGCGGCAGTCATGAAGAATCTCGAGGGGCCGTTGCGCAAGACGGCCACCCAGGTAATGCAAGGAATGGGAGGGCGACCAATATACGCCTCAATTATCGCACCGCCAGCGACCAAAGCGGCACTTCGAATAAGAGTCAAAGGAGCAGAAAACATGGAGCCGTTAGAGCTTCTCGAAAAGGTACAACTACATATAAAGGGGGCATACGCAGCAAGGAAGCTGCGGAGCAATGATATGGAGGTGTTTGTGCAGTCGGTCTCCTAGCGAGACGTAGCCCTGAGTATGGCACTGCCAAAGGAGTTCAGCGTCCTGAAACAGGATTACCCAGTTGAGATTTTAGGAGTCCCGTTGGGGACAATTATAAAAGGAGGAAAATCCCAAACAATGGCGATTTCATGAATCAAGTAATGGCGAAAACAAAAGTCCGGATTCCTCATTCGAGAATCCATAGGCTGAGATGGCTCGTCGATAGAAAAGAGCACCGTTGGATGGGAGGAAACGGCCACCCTCGAGGGTCAATCGTCGCGAGTTTACCGACAGAGACACATCAACGCAAAGTGATAAGAAATTGCATATTATATATATATTTCATTTTACCTGATTTGGCGCCTTGAGGCTCATGGAGGTTTTATCGGAAGATATGTACATTAAATAGGATGACTCAATTTGAATTTTAGAACGCTCACACTCAGATTTCATTTGCAGATACCACTCGAGGTTAACCCTTACGGCGTATAACCTCTTCCGTGCATACCCACCACAGGGAAAAGCGTAAAAAATCTATGGCTATCCGAGTGTGCTTTCATCGTCTCACAAGTACAAAATCACCGCGAGAGTGTGTGATGAGTGGGTTTTACTGGATTCGAACCAGCTTTCTCCTGTCTCGAATGGGGTAGGTGTTCAAGCTACCGAGAGAATACTTTGGCAAACGGCCCGAACGGTGTACCACTGCACCATCCATCCTTCCTTATATATATAGCAAGATGTACGCAACCTTGCGTTACCCAACTTAGCTATTTTACTGATTTTATTCCGAACTTGCCCTGCTGTATACCAACTTCAATTGGTGTGGCGACAGTTATGTAGAGACAGGATCTTCTCCATGCGCCATGGTGACAAATAAATTGACTTTGTACTAACTACAAGTTCCACCATACCACGTGGCCTCGCACGATAGAAATCGCGTGAAATATTCCTTCTATTTTGTCCTATGTTGCTTGACCAGTCATAGTTCAACACAAAGTTGCGTTTCCGCAAGATCCCAATCGTTTAGGTGGAAGGAGAAATGTTTGTCTTTTTCCGGCAGTTAACCTGATTTAGCCTGATCTCACTTGTACTTAAGTTCTAGGAGTGCGATTGATGACATCGTATTCAGCAGCTATTTCGAAATCTAACTACTCCATGATACACTTCTTTATTAATAATGACGGAAAAATAGGAGACTCATGTTAAGATAACAGTTTGAAGATATGAATTTTTGTGTGCTGTACATTATTGATTAGGGTTAGCAGGAGGTAACAACAGTCTTACAAATATGTGCGTGATTCGATCTACGGGTACAGACTTTGTCGAGTAGTATGCTTATTAACAAACAGTAGACTCACTCCGACCTAATTTACTTAAATTGCCACTATTTCTCTTCAAGTACTGCACAACTGCCTCTACGTATGCTCAACAGATCATTCCTACGTTACTTCCACAAGCTAGTACGACCACTATCATTTTTTTCTACAATACTATTGTGTATTGTTGGTGAACCATTAAATCAATTTTTGATTACAGAAAAGGATGAACCTATCTTTCAACGATCTGTTGTGGTATTGAAAGCCCCTACTTTCAATAGTCTTGGCAATAATTGAATTTTAGACAATAGTACAGTGAGAGCCAGTTCCAGAACCTTGAGGACGAAGTTCCTGTCGGATAATTCGGCGACATACTGAGGGCAATGAATATTAATTAACAAATTAGGTGTTAGGTGAATAAAGCTGCTGATAAATCTTATTGGATTTAATTGTTATTATCTCACTGGATTGTGCGTTATAGGCCGACCTAGTATGCAATGTGTTGGACGTACATTATTTTAGTCTTTGTGAAAAACGACATGAAATCGTTCAGCTCGAATTCTAGCCAAGTTGATAGTAAAATTCAGTCAGACATCAGCAGCTTATAGGCTGTTCTCGGATTCAGAAAAAGAGACCAGTAGATTATATCCCCAAATTGATAACATAAGAAGTATTTTCCTGTTGCATTCACGAGTTCACTCCATAACGATTGATTCTATGATCGGCAATAATATTTTTCAGGAAGTGTACTTGAATAACTTAAGCTTTGAGGCCGGAAGCTAACTTAGGATGCGTTGGATGTGTAGATTCCAGATAATTATTAAGACTGATTAAGTACAGATACTTCAGTGATTTGTTGCCACTGCTTGAGGTAAAATAGTTAGACCTGGAGCGGAATGTGTCTCTCCACCGGAAAATTTAGCGACAACCTGAAGGGTTGCGTGATTTGGAATTTTTATTGAAGACGCGTTAATGGCCTTAGCCCATGCAAATGCTCACAAACTCTTCTCTTCCTACGCCCCCCTTTCCATCGAGGTCGAACTCCTCGATCATAGCGGCTAGTTCTTCTTCCTCTAAACCCTCACCTAACTCTCTTGCTACGCGCCGCAGGTCATCGAGACTTATTATTCCTTTATCGTCGGCATCAAATAAAGCAAATGCGCGTAGAATTTCGTCCCGGGGATCCCGCTCTGATATAAGCTTAGCAGCGATATTTTGAAAAGCTGGCAGAGTAAGCAGTAAGCGTGCGGGAGGCGATGAGTTTGGATTCTTTGCATGCCCAGTTGCTTGAGTAGGTGGTGATCCATGAGTTGTGAGCAGATTGAGGATACTGGGCTTAGGTAGATCAAAACCAAGGGCTTTTAGGGCAACCTTGAATTCATGGTAGTCTATCCGCCCGTCTTTATCGAGATCGAATAGACTGAACTAGATCAATAAAAATCTACGTTAGTGATCACCGAGGCCAAGTTGATGTTGGGAGAAAAATTAAGGCGCTCGCTTGGAATCCTCGCTTTATTGGAGGAAAATTGGAAGAACATACTGCTTCGTTAATTTCTTCCCGCTGTTCGTCGGTTATATTATTTAGAGCGTTAGTAGAACTGACTTGTGCTTGAGATCCTCGTTCACGCTCAAGGCGATTGTGATCGCGACTGGTATTTGTTGGAGGGAGCTTGTTGTGATGTGCAAGTGTGCTGCTGTAGGGCCTGGAAGGAAATGAGGCGTGTGTTTGTTGAGGCATCGAGGCCATGTTGTATATCTCAGATCTATTTCGTGTTAATACACTGGATATTGATGTTCAGAACTTCCGCGATGCGCACGTGGAAGGAATAAAACACCTACATAAAGCCAGCTGTATCGCTGTAACGTAGTTTGGTCCACGAAGGTGAAGAAGTTGTCCTATGCTATTAGGGAGTTGATGGGTTTGGAGGTAATGCGTAGTGAATCGGTTTCCTGGTCGAGGATCACAACTCACAGAATATGAAACGAGATTAAAGGAAATTACAATTAATTTTCATTTGGGTAGATGGATGTTTGTAGCAATTCTGATCGAAATACAAAATTTGATAAGCTTTACATAATGGTGTAAAAATGCTGAATTTTTTCAAAGTCCTAATTCCATTCTTAAAGACTTACGCTACTTGCTGTAGACCGGCGTATGAGGACGGTACAAGAGTTGTTTATGGTTCAAACAAGTTCATGTCATCTGACATCTCCGGAACAGGACCGGTCGATCTGTCTGCACCGACGGCTTACATTTCGTCTCCAAAGTGAACAATGAAAAAAGCAAATTAACACGAAAATTAAAGAAAGCAACGATAATACTGCAAGTTTTTGTTTCTCAATCTTGGGTAGTGTACGATATATGGGTCCTCTCAGCCCATAGGCTACGCATGAATTCGCCACGCCCTCAACCCACGCTCATCAGCTCCAATTTTGAGTAATATTCACTCAATTAAACACTTAGAGGAGCATTTCAAGCAGTAAATAACGTTTACTCCACCTAACGAATCCATAGCCATTTGTGGGAGTATCATAGCCAGGAAAACCTTCAAATAATACTGCATGTGGGCTTATCCTTGTGTCAGAATGAGCACTAAATCCGATGGCCATCTATCCTTATGTAGCTTCCCGACCGGTTGGCTAGCTAGGCGCTACAGGCTAGTACGTACTCAAGACATAAACTCTTTACCTTTCTAGATTTTGTTCTGTTCCTCCATTCATTAGCGCTTCAGAACAAATTGAGGCTTTGTTGAAGTGTTGGCTAAGTCTTGCCTGAGAGTGTACTGTAAGCTTAAGTATTCTACCAAAAAAATAATATATATAGGGGCATCGGGTTTTCATTACGTATGTAACTAGCTAGCTAGGATACTGTATTGGTGAAAGATTACAGAAAAGACGACTCATAATAATAGAGGAGTACTCATGTTCTTAGGGGGACTATATACAGGTTGCTTTGCGCTGCCGAGCAATTTCAGTCAAAAACCACTACTGCTACTACTACAGGACTTCCAATGGTGCCGTTGTAATTGCTCAGTATGCTCTGCATATCTGGTATAGCCAAGAAGAATCGCATCCGAATCGAAGTCGAAAGCAAACCCATCCATATCTCCATTTGACGACTTCTGAATCATGCAGTACTCACCATTATCATCTGAGCCCTCAACCTCTTTCGAGCCACACATTACCTAGTCTCAACGACCGATAAAGGCGTTACTCTAATTGCAAACAGGAGCTTGCCTCACTTGTCACCAACCATCACACATTACAAATTTAAGACGCTAAGTATACCCACAAATAGGAAATCAAGTCATAATATACAAAGCCTAGGTCTTAGCTTATGGGGGACTGTTGCTCTAATGGGACAAGCAACTTGAGGGGGAACAGGTCTCTGAAGGCCATGCTGGGACTGGCATTTTCGAGGAGGTTTCAACATTAGAACGTTTCTGGACGCCAAGACCAAGATTTCGGCAAATTAGCCAGGAGTACTTCCATTTTCGATGAGTCAACGGCACTCCCTAGCGCCCTGGACGGTACAAAAGAAGTTGGGATAAGCTATCGTACAGCAAACACGCTCTGTCAAGACTTTTTTGACATTTCACTACGACCTCCGGGAAGGGGTTGGAAGGAGGCTGGAAAGGTAGAGTGTGAATTTCCTGAGATACCCACAAGTTTGCAGCACCCAGCTGGCCGGCCTCTTCGAACGCTTCAGAAGGGGCACTATGTCTTCGGGTTTATTCCTAATTTCGGTATTAGAAGAGCCCCGCACCCAGTGGTTTTTGCAATTTTTCCCGGCTGCCATACACCCGCAAATGGCCATCGTTTCGTTGGCTTGAGAGGGGAGATAATGAAGGGCTAAGGGCTCCTCTAAGTGTATTATCGAATGAGGACTTGTGAGGGGTGGTACTGTTTGAGGGGAGCTGTATGGGAGGTATAGGAGGGGATATACTACCGGTATAGGTATCCTTGGTCTATCCGTAGAGAGGACCTGCATGTCCTACACAGTCATAGACTCAGACAGGACAAAAAAATGAATTAATAATTAATAGAGCTCGGAGTATCGGCGCGTCTGCTTAGGTAAGCAGCATGGGTTTGACTACTAATTGTAAGCGGACAATGGTTGCATAAGTCTGGATCCAGTCCAAAAGCGAAAGCACGATCTGCGTGCAGGCATGTCAGACTAGTTATGATGATCAGGGGCGTTAGTAAGGTAGAATTAGATATTATAGTGCTACGGTGGACTCGCGACACGGAGAACATTAATCAATTCATTTCTTGTATTCGCTTTCATCTTTTGACGATTCACGTGGCAATCACACGAAGATCTCTCTAAGTTTTACGTCGTAGCATTATTCTTGGTTGATTCAAATGAAAATTCGACGATAGAAGACTTATCTGGAGCTTTGTTATGTCGTGGATGAATTATTTGTGACGATTTTAGAGAGGAATTTTAATCTTGTGAAATGTCGGCCTTTGGATTATTGAAGGCGGATCGGGAAATCGCTGCTGAAGGCATCGATATGAATGAGGCTTCTGTAGTAAAGAAGCGGGCGAGTAAAAGTGTTGCTGGTCGCTCTGGTCGTCTGCCGGGCAACTTTAGCAATGAGTTCGACTTAGCATCAAACGAAATTCATAGCGAAGTCTGATGTCTGCACCAAGATGAAAAAGTTCAGATAAACGATCCACCGAAAGAAAGGATCGTGACGAAGATGAATGTGGCGAAAAGATTTCAGGGCAAGCTGCATTTTCAAGGCCGTCGGATCGATATGAGGAATGCAGAAACACACCAAATGACGATGAAGATGCACGTGCAGGATGGGACAGGCCTGCCGTAACAGCATCAAGGAATGGAAGCAAAACCTTGCTGCAATGGAATCTTTTTGACTAGAAACCACCCCAGTCAGATTTCGTAAGAGGAAATGGAAATCAGTCCATGCATAGGAGGCGGTGTTACTACAACTAGAATGTATCGGGTACGAAGACGGTATGAAATTGACAACGTTGGACGAGGTGAGACTCGCCGCTGTTATTCAGCGAACTACAACAGCAGAAACTAAGAGCCTATTCATAGGCATGAAATGGGGCACAGAAATTATGAGGTTATTTGAACGAACAAATCGGCAAGTTAGCAAAACACAACAAGAAGCCATTCGGGGAAACCTCATCGCTCTCAATTATATAGGAGGGTTTCCAGTAGAGTATGTCACGAAGTTCAAGATAGTGGTTAGGGACTATATGTCAACGTGTGGGATTTTGGATGAAAGGCAAATCTTAATGATCTTTAAGCAATCGACCAAAGAAGAAGTTGGAGGATGGAACGCCATGGTTTCTACAATAGCACGCTTCCAAAGCTGGTCCATGGAGAACCTCATTCAAGATTTTATCTCTCACCACTATGACAGGATTGAAGAATCAACCAAAGTGGATAAGCCCAAGAGGACTGAGTCTAAGAAAAATCACCACAATATTCAATATAGGGAAAGCTTGAGTGATTGAGAAAAGTCTGGGAGAAAGACGAATGAAGATAATCCATGGAAGAAATCTTCCATTCGTTGCTATAATTGCAAAGAAGAAGGACACATCGCCAAAAATTGTCCTATCAAAAAGAAAATTGAAGCATACAATTCCTATGCTGCATATGGGCAAGCAACAAATGAAATAGGTCCATCGGCTACAATTGTCCAGGAATACTGCCAGATTCCTGAAGAATTTGTTGGGAGTAGCTTTGCTGCTAAGGTAGGCCCACAGGTCTACGAAGACATGGTCTCGTTTTACGACAACGAGATGGCGCATCGTCGTGGCGAGGTGGTAGTTGAAAAAGAACTACCGAAGTCAGGAGGACCAGAATTGTCTATCGAATGTTCGCGGCAGATTCTCAGTGGTTCAGGGGATAAAAGGGTCGCAAACTGCCAGCTCACGGTCAATAATGCCAATTTAGATGCGAATTATCGTCATAAATATTCTAAGCCGGGCATATGTGCTGATCTGAAGCCTCCGGAATAAAAAATCCTGACTGGAAGCGGAACTGATCGCGCGAAATATGTTAGCGACGTTTGTGTACCTGAAGGTCTAGATTCGCTTGTATCACCCGAAGTGGTAGAGCGTGAGAGAGTTGGCTATGGTCCAGGTGAGGTAACAGACCCTGAAAAAATACGGAATTATGTGAAAATCGAAGATAACAGCGTTACTCGAGACAACAAGCTGCAGAAAATGTCGACAAGAGGGCGTGGTCGGCTCAAACGTACCATTCAATGGCCCTGTGAAAGTCAGGAGATTAAAGATATAAACACTTCGCCGAATTTTGGTAAGAAGACGGGAATAGCCATGCGTGAAATCGATAAAGTCTTGTCTTTCGAAGCGATTAAAGGGGACCAAAGACGCAAGTGGACAGTGGCTCGCAGCCAGAAAATCTAAGCCTGTTCATCCCAAGGAACCTGTAAGGCCGTACCCCGAAAAGCCATAAAGGATAGAGGGCGTCTTGGGACATCGAAATAGGCGTCGAAGAAGAAACGCGAATTAAAAGTAAAACCGGACAAGCTTAGAGCTATAGTACTGATTACGGGTTGTAGTCGGACTAAAGAATATGACTCCAATAAAGATACATTCTGACAATCACCTGAGAAACTAGGATTTATGGACGGATCTTCACTTTAGTACTGAGAGGGCGTGTAGGCAGACTTATGCAAGCATAAGTCTGGATCCAGTCCAAAAGCGAAAGCACGACCTGCGTGCAGGCATGTCTATCAGGTA